GGGCCAGCCCTATATAGGATCCGAACTTGCGGCGGGAGCGCTGCTGCGCTCCCAGCGCTGCACTCTCCCGAGTGCACCACGGGCTCAGCCCTCATTTCTAAGAAGTTCCCAGGTGATGCTTCTGCTCCTGATCACTTNGCTCCCACACCTCACTCAGCCAGTGAGCGGGAACCAGTCTGTATGTGGGATCCGAACCCTCAGTGGGAGCGCCACTGCACTCCCAAGCAGCGCACTGTAGCAGTGCGCCACCGGGCTGGCCCCCAGCCTGGATTTTTTAAACTTTATATTTTGAAATAATTATAGAGTCATAGGAACTTTGCAAAGATAAAACAAATTAATCCCATGTCCCCTTTACCTATTTTCCCCCAATGGTTACACCTTAAATAATTAGAGTACAACATAAAAACCAGGAATTTGATATTGGCATAAGTATGTGTGTAGTTCTGTGTCAATTTGTCACATGTGTAAATTCCCATAACCATCACTGCATTCACAATAAATGACTGTCCTTTCCCCCACAGAGATCTTCCTTGAACTAAACTCTTTATATTCATATCCGTCCCCTTCTCCTTCCTCTACCATCCCTAACTCCTGGCATCTACTAATTTGTTCTCTTTCTTGGTAATTTTGCATTTCCAGAATATTGTATAAATGGAATCATCCAGTATGTAACCTTTCGAGATTGACTTTTTTTTTTTTCATTCAGTGTCATGCCCTTGACACCCATTCAAGTTGTTGCATGTATCAGTAGCGTGTTCTTTCTGGTGGCTGAGAAGTGTGGTATGCATGTCTCACATGCTGCATTTAAATTGAAATTAAAACAAAGTTTATTAATGAATCTCACAGGAAGAGAAGTAACTGAGAACAAATAATACCCAAGTTCTCATACCACATATAGCTGAGCACAAGCTAGGTTTTGCTGAGCTGGTTCCAACATAAAAAGACCCCCAGAGATGGTCCCTACACTCAACAAGAGCTACATATTTATAGGCTGAGGGGGTTCAGGAAATATTTTAGTGGGGATAAGGGATGTCCCTTTGAAAAAACAAGGGGATGTCCCTGGTTAAGAAAATGATCTTAGTAGGAAGTGGGACCTCCTGTGCTCAGAGGCTGACATCAACTTGTTCTTCTGTTGAACTCACAAAGACCTGCTGACCCACTTCTTATTTTTTAAATTGAAATATAATTCACATATCATAAAATTCATCATGCCCATTATAATGGCTATAATTATTAAAAAACAAAAGAAAACAAAACAGACAACAACAAGGGTTGGTGAAGATTTGGAAAAATTGGAACCTTCCTAAATTATTGGTGGGGACGTAAAATGGTACAGCTCCTTTGAAAAACAGTCTGGCAGTTCCTCAAAAAGTTGAGTGATTCCACTCTTGGGTATGCACCCAAGAAAATTGAAAACTTATGTTTGCAGAAAAAATTGTACATGAATATTCATAGCAGCATTATTCATAATAGCCAAAAAAGTAGAAACAACCCAAATGTCCATTAACTGATGAATGAATCCACTTCTTATTAAGCCATTGAGAGATGGAAGATAAGTCTTAGGGCCTTTTGAATTCGTCTGTGCAGTGTCTGTCAGAGAAAGAGGTGTCAGGGAGCCCTGAAGGGGTATGGAGAGTAGGGACCCATTGGGAAAACCTGATATTATTCCACTTCCTTATAACTTTCCTGCTTTGAATTCCCAGAAACCTCCAGGAAACTGACCATCTCACCCATGAACAAAGCCTCCACAACTGGTAAGTAACCAGGCACTTAAAGCTCAGCAGAAAGGGCTGTGAAGATAGGGCTCTTTCTTCCATCATCTAAACCTATAGGCTTTTAATCTGTTTCACTAAACCATCTGACTCTTCCCAAGAAAGTCCTTGGTTTGAGCACAGAGGATAGGGTGGAGGTAGGCTCTGAGGTTGGGGACAGAGGAGCATTTTGGGTGATGTAGCAGTTGCAAAGGAGCCAAGGCTGTGATGGGAAGGCCATCGCCCATCCCTGCGCACTGCTCTCAGGGTAAAGTCAAGCTCTGTCGAGTCAGCTCTGATCCAAGTATTTAACCTTGTTTCCCATTGTTTTCATGTACAGCCTGTGCTTCAGCCCCTCAAACCATAGGTGCCTGGATACAATACATCTTACTCCTCCAGGCCCCTGAAAATACGCTTCCCTCGCGCTGCAATCTCCTTTTCCCTGGCTTTTCCTGGAATGTCTCCAGACAGAACACCTTGACAGATCCTCTGAGAATAGGTTAGATATCTCCATTGGGACTCACACCGCTGGCTTTCTTTTCTTTTCTTTTCTTTTTTTTTGACAATTTTTTTTATTGAAAGATAATTGATCACGGGCCGGCCCGGTGGCGCACTGGATAGTGTGCCGCTTGGGAAGCGCGGAGGCGCTCCCGCCCGCGGGGCCGGAGCCCCCC